AATTTTCTTTTGTATGTTCTTCCCCATGGTATAACCCCTGTTTTCTGGTGCCCTGCATCTTGTATATACATTTTTCTAATTTGGTGAGGGCAAGGGAAATAAGAAAACTGAAATAAGGATTTGGTTGACCCATTGTAGCAATGATACATACAAGACACTATGTTGAAAATGAACTTTACAATTTTGTGAGGCCAGGGGAGAGGGAGGAGTTGGGGAGGTAGGGAGGGAAGTGATGGTAGGGGACAAATAAAGGAGGGTGTAACAAGGCTCGATAGGAAATGGACTCATTACCTTACTCATGTAACTGTAACACCTCTGTACAATATCTTTACAATAAAAATATATTTAATAAAAAATAAATGTCTAGCTAAAATAAAAAAAAATTTTTCATTTACAACTTTTCTTATATTGGTTATTGATTTTATGTGTCACATTTTAACAAAAAGGAAATAAATACTACATATTACTTTTGCATTTCTCCAATGTTCTCAATACTAATTTCTTTGATTTGAAATTATTTTTCTTCCTTGTCACACTTTAAATCTTTAAGCTCAAGTCTAAGCACTTAGACTATCAGTCATTGTAAAATCAAGTCCAGGCTGTGAGTCTATGGGCCACTGAGAACCTGGAATTACCCCACTGTTACCATCATGCTCATCAAAGGATCATTTCATATATTCAGGATTCTATATAATTTCCCATGGAGAAAGTTACCTGGTGATACAACATTTTCATGTCATATGACAGACATTTCTCATTAGGATTCAGGATTCTCATTAGGATTCAGCACTTTTCTTTCTTTATGTTAGGATTCTTTTTGGTACTGAAGAATCAAGTTTCAAAATATACATTATAAAAAGCCTCCTCTTGTGGGAGAGAAGGATGTCATTAACCCAGATGCATTGTACTCATGGTCTGATAGATTAACTCCATTGTATAACTACTTAAAGATAACAATATTAAAATAAAAATGAATGACTAAATAAAAAAATAAGTCTCATTCTTCTGAGATGATTATTTCCAAGTACATGGAGTTGAACAAATTAGTATTATAAATGCCACAGAGAAAATCAAGTGGAATAGTGAAGTGGTTTAAACAGGGGTCAACTTCATGTGATGTGATTGAGGAAGGTGTGTCTGAGGAGGCATCCACAGGACAAAGCGAAGTGAATTACAAGGAAGAACGAAGGCACAAATATTTGTAGCAAAAGAACTGAAATCAGATGCTGTGGAATAAAGGCTCTAAAATGGGAACAAATTCACTTTGCTCTGAAGACACTCAAGGAATTCTTGAAGTATTTGGATGAAAGAAAATATATGGACATAAAAATCCCAGCTGATTTGGTTTGTGAACCTCCTTCTATAGCTGATGTTTGGGCATTCTGTCCAAATCGAATTTCCAGACCAGCCACACTGAGCACCAGACAGTGTGGTAGGAAGTTCGACAATGCTGCCCAGCAACCCATCCTGCTATTCACACTCATGCCATTCACCACACTCATCCAGATTCCATCTTGAGGACCAAGGACATACTTCTCAAATCAAATGATAAACTCCAAGGACTTGTTTTGTCTCCTTGTGTCGTTCTGTCTCTTTTGCACACTTACATGATATTAGAAGCAAATTTACCAGCCCAGGGAAGGTTTCATATAAGTTCAGTTCAGTCAATAAGTTTGCATTAATTAATTAATTAACTAATTAATTAATTTATTTTGTCAGGCCTTGTGATTGGCCTCAGGGCCTGGGTGCTGTCTCTGAACTTTTTTGCTACCAATTATCACTTGACCACTTGAGCCACAGTTCCACTTCAGTGGCGAATTGGAATTAATTCGGTGGCGAATTGGAAATAAGATTCATTGGCTTGAACCTTGATCTTCAGCTCTTAGTCTCCAGAGTAACTACCATTATAGGAATGAGCCACTGCACCTGGCTAACTTTTGCCTTTAACCTTGTGAAATACCTTGAAACAGCACGACCCATAATTTGACACTTCAGATATTCTTAAAATAGAAGCAAGGGAGCAAGGAAATAAATGAACACAACAAGCCAAGCTAACAAAGTCTTGTTTTTTTAATTTGTCAGCTAACACTGATTTGAACTTTCTCTTCCATCCTCACTTTTCTGACTCCTCAAAAAACATAATGAAGAAATCAATTTTGGTATGATAAAAATAGTATCATTGGTTCTAAAACTTTTTCTTATGGATTGTCACTTTCTTTTCAGAAGTTTACTCTTCCCAATTACCACACCTGATCAAGACCTGCCTGTTTCAATGAGTTTTTTTAAGCAAATGTCCATGTGAGTAATCTAATTTTATGATTCCTTAATATGCTTAGAAGAATAATCATAAAGGAACACTGTAAGACAATGTTCACATTCACTTCTGTATTTAACTGGAAAAAAAAAAAGATGAGAATCTATATACTTCATAATTTGTTTGCTAATGGACATGCTTTTCAATGTATGCTATACCACAATTCTTATTCATATGTTTTTACAATATGCAGATTGTCACACATATAGAATTCAAGACAAAAGAGGAAGGAAAAAAATTGTGCAAGACTCACTGAAGACTTGGCATACTTTTGGCATCTCAGAGTACTCACTGTCTTGCCTATGTAATTGTAACCCCTCTGTATGGTATTTTGACAATAATAAATATTTATAAAAATATTTATTTATAAGAATAAATAAATATAAAAATTCTAAGTTATCTCTTCTTAGAATATTGATTACAAAACTAAAATTGTTTTTCCTACGACTACATTTTTACTTTTGTTTTCATTGTAATTAAAAAATGAAGCATACAGTATCACATACATTTAAGATACAGTCATATTTGTATGAAAAGGTTTCATGTGTGGTAAAAATACAGTTTATTCAAGACGAATCTTTCTGGAATTCCCATTCCATAGACATAGAATTAAAATAAATCTCAACAGATGTTATATGTCCGTGTTTCACTCTTTAGATTTTTTTTGATTAGGTATAAAATGAGTACATTAGATTGCAAATAACTTTGAAATGGTTCTTAAATTGTAAAAACTATAGCAGCTACCACAAGTTATAAGGGCATAAGAGTTTATTGAAGAGGGCTAGAATATATGTCTAGCAGATTTTAGAATGTTTTTGTACTCAAAGTGATTTTGTATATTTATGCTACTTATTTTAATTCTAAAACTCCTTAAATCCTATAGAATACCCATGTATTAATTTTGAGCATTGTTACTCATTACCCTGTGTTAATCACATAGTAATATATAAAGTTAATATTATCAATCTGTATCTGAGTTTCATTTGTATAAATATTTATATTTAACAATCTATGTTAAAAGTTCTATGTCAGGTATATTTTATCTTTCAGATCTAAGGCATTACTTGAAATCACTGTGGATTCTCCTCCATCTATATTCCATGTTTTATCTGTGCCCTAAATGTATGTATTTGGATGAAAGTGATAATTGTTCTTTCCTCTTGGTTTAGCTTTCTTTTAGCCAAGTTGCCACTTTAATCATTCGGGATGCACACAGAAGCACTTGCTGCATTTGCAGAAGATTAACACTGGAACTTTCAGCTGTGTCTCTATCTGTTTATGTTTCTAATCTGGGAAAGGTGCACACAGATGCATCACTCAGATCACAGAGCACTGAAATTTGGAGCCATTCCTTCTCTCTATTCTACTCAACTGCCACCAATGCAGGAAGGCATCAATGGATTGATTCTCTACGAAAGTGTTAGATGGATTCCGTATCAGTGCTGAGAATTACTCTCAAAATCATGTTACTGTGTTGTAGCAAATACATTTTTATAATCCAACCTGGACTTGAAGGTTTGATTGATCAATTAGACTTAAGAAGAACAATGAAAGTCAGTCTAGTTTGCTTAGGGGAAGAAAATATCACACGTAAACATTAAGATCAAGTTGGATTCAGGAAAAAAATCTAAATCAGATTGTCTAAATCAGGTTGAAATGTTTGTAAAATTAATCAGTATATTGAATATTTTTGGTGATATTGAAGACATGTAAGAAGGTAGTACATACTTTAGTCATAATTATTTAATATATAACATATAAGTGATATTAATTTTTGATTATAAAAATATTCTGTGCAACACAAAATTCTATGATTGAGCATGAATAAAGGAAAGCTAGGTGAAGCTGCATTTTATTAACTACACATTGCGTAATATTTAGAGATCAATCTTTAAAATTCTTTCCATGTTTATAGAAACCACATCTTAAATACACCAGTAAAAATGAACCATTTGAAAGACTATATAAAAATAGCTGTTTGCTTTTTTACAAGATAACTTTAAGATCTCTTGAAAAAACCTTTTACCTAAAAATGTCTGACGTTTTTATTTAAAACTGAAAAATATCATAGTCCACAAATTGATTAGCAGCATTAAATTTTTTTGTGTTGCACCAGGTGAAATTATAAATTTTAGTTATTAAAAATGATAAATTCAAGCTGGGCACTAGTGGCTCAGGCCTATAATCCTACCTACTCAGGAGGCTGAAATCTGAGGATTGCAATTTGAAGCTAACCCAGGCAGGAAAAGTCCGTGAGACTCCTTATCTCCAATTAATCACCAGAAAACCAGAAGTGGAGTTGTGGCTCAAAGTGGTAGAGTGCTGTCCTTGAATGAAAAAGCTCAGGGACAGTGCCCAAGCTCTGAGTTCAAGCCCCATGACCAACAATAAGAAAAAATAAAGACAAATTCACAAACTTGAATGCAATAATTTCCTGGCAAGTACTTTCAGCATGAGAAGAAGCTTGAAGGGCTTTTTCCCCACTTTTATTTCTTCAAACAGTAGACATTCTTATTCTATATGAATAGCATACAGAATTCTGTATATTTTGACTTTTAGTAGAATTTGTATAGCAGTTTAGGCAAAATGGCAGAACTTCCGAAACAAAAGCTGAATAGCTACTTTTTCTTACGGTTGGAAAAAAAAAATCACAATTCAAAATTTAGAAAATCCACAAATCACTTACTTTGGTAGAGTTTTCAAGTGATTTTCTCTTAACTCCAAGATCCTCAATTTGACGAGTCTGTGAAAAGAAGTTTTAAAAATTACTTCTTTACTATTTCTGTGTAAATGAAGCATTCACATGGTAAATTGAATTATCATTATCACTATCCAAATATCTCTGCTGAAATTCTTTATTATGTTTACAAAGTTTAAGTAAATGTGTAAATTGCTGTGAAGGTGCTTTGACACTGAATTATGACAAACCACTTTTCTCATAATAATATTTCAAAGATAAATAGAAACCTTTATCATTTGACTAATATCTTATAAAATATTCACTATTGCAATTAATTTTATGTGTTTAGTAGATCATTGAGAATACACTAAATGTTGGGAGCTAAGTTCAGTGAAGCATAGCAACACTTTTCTTCAGGGGACTATGAATGGATTTGAAAGGCAAATAGTATAACACAGAAACAAAAAATTAGGGTTTTGTAGCAAGACAGATCTGGATGAAATTTAGGCCCTACCATATTCTATCTCTGTAATAGTATACCAAAATGATCAACAGTGCCAAATCCATGGGGTGAAATATATACACACTCATATATCCTAGTACATCATGAATTTTAATATTATAGTTATTACTAATTTCTTTAATTGCACAATGGGAAAGGTGCCATAGAGTACTAGGTTTTACTGACTCAAAACTACGTATTTTATGGGATTGTATGAAATTGCAGAGCTTCTGCATGCAAAGGACATAGCTAGCAAGATCAATAGAAAGCCCATGGATTGGGAGAAGATCTTCACTAGCCATACAACGGACAAGGGTCTCATATCTAAAATATACCTGGAACTCAAAATATTAAATCCCTCAACAACAAATCCTCAAAGAAACAACTGCCCAATAAATAAGTGGGCTAAAGTGGGCTAAAGAGAATCTTCTCTGAAGAGGTAAGAAGGATGGCCAATAGACATATGAAGAAATGTTCAACCTCCCTAGCCATAAAAGAAATGTAAATCAAGAAAACATTGAGATACCACCTTACCCCAATTAGAATGGCTATAATCAAGACCTCTAATAACAACAGATGCTGAAGGGGATGCGGACAGAAGAGAACCCTACTGCATTGTTGGTAGGAGTGTAAACTTGTTCAACCACTCTGGAAAATAGTATGAAGGTTCCTCAAAAGACTCCACATAGAGCTCCCCTATGACCCAGCAATCCCACCTCTGGGCATTTACCCAAATGATCACAAACAAGACCACACTAAAGCTACCAGCACAACTATGTTTATTGCAGCATTATTTAACATAGCTAAGATATGGAACCAATCCAGATGCCCCTCAGTAGATGAATGGATCAAGAAAATATGGTATATACACACAATGGAATTCTATGCCTCCATCAGAAAGAATGACATTGCCCCATTTGGGTCAGGAAATGGAAAGACTTGGAAAAAATTATATTAAATGAAGTAAGCCGGGCCCCCCAAAACATAGGTCCTATGGTTTCCCTTATTTGCAATAACTAGTATATGCCTGAGACAAGCAGAAATGGTCAGATAAGTTGATGTTAGGCGAAATGAACACCAAGATATGGACTCCAATGTTTTTTCTTTCTTGCTATTTTTTCTAACATATTTATAAGATGATTTCTTTGTTGCTTTTATGTCCCTCCCCCACGGCATAACCCCTGTTTTCACTGTATTTGATGTTGGTATAATTTGTGGAGGGGAAGGGCAAAAACAAATTGTTTAAATGGGATACAGGTGGAGAAAGGGACCAAGATGGCGACGGGGCAGTAGGGAAACGCCACAGCTCTCTCCAACCAAAAAGAGAGTTCGAGTTCCAACGCTTAATCTCCCCAAGAGACTGACAACAACAAAAAGACGAACACTCAGAGAAAAACCAGAGGTGGAAAATAACAAAAAAAGAAAGAGAGGAAAAGAAGAAATTCAGAACAGAGAAGAGCGAAGACCCCTCCCCCAACCTTTACTGGCCGCGCGGCAATGCGCCAAGCCGCCTGCCAGCCGGCCCGGCGGGGGCTGCCGGAGCCCCAGAGACACAGGGGGCTGCTTGCAGGTACCGGATTGCAGAACAGGGGATCGCCAGGAACAGAGAAACCTACCAGCCGGGAGTCTCCACGAGGATCCCACCCCCACCCCTCACTCTCCACCGGAGCGGAGAGGCTCCATCCCACCAAAGCCGCCCGGCACCAGCAGCGCGACAAAGGGTCCTGTCGGCATACCACCCGCCAGATCGCGATCCCAACGACCCGGCTGGGGCCGCCCAACCCAGCCCGCAACCACCCCAACTGAACTCGGATTGCAACAACAACTGAGGACCTACAGGGTGAGTACCCCACAGGGGACAGTGAATCCCTCAAGGGAGACCAGAGCTGGAGGGAATCCCCAGACCCTGACCTAGACTCCCTACCCCAACACCCGGACCACAGGACCCACTAAAACTGGGAACTGTTCAAGAGCTCCACCAGCCGGTGGAGCACACTCTGCTGGCCAGGCCAGAGCAAGAGTGCCCCTGGAAGGGAGCTTAAATGCCCAAGCCAGGAACAGCGCCCCTGGGTCAAGACTACCAACAGTAGAAGAAATTTGAACTGTGTCCTCCAGGCTGCATAACCTAGGTGGTATACACATTAGCACAGGCCTAACAAGCGCGCTCCAGGCTGGGGCCGGAACCAGGCCCGGGGACCGGCGCCTGAGCAACACAACCAACTCCTCCCAACTGAAGTAAAAAGCTGAGCATACACCTCAACAGAGGGGAGAGAAACAGGGAACAGCACTCCCCGGGAAGCACACCTGTGACAACAAAAGACCTGGAGGCTCAGGACAAGAGAAGCCCAAACCCCACCAAAACTCCACCCATATACCCTAGGCTGGGAATTGGGCAACACAGGCTGCCAGCACCTGATAGTAAGCAGGAGCTCAGGCTGATAAGGCAGCTCAGCAATAGAGTGATAGTCTTGGAAGTATGAGGCCCTGGATCTGATTCCTCAGCATCACAAAAGCAAAAAGGGTCAGAAGTGGTGCTGTGGCTCAAATGGTAGGGTGCCAGCCTTGAGCTGAAGAGCTGAGGGACAGCACCCAAACCTAGAGTTCAAGCCCACAACCAGCCCAAAACAAACAAACAAAAACACATCAGGAGCCCATAGCAGACTCCAGTATTTGGGAGAGTGCATCCAGAGCATCTGATCTTCCCAAGAGCACCCGCAGGAGCAAACACAAGCAGTCTAGGCTGCTCAACCCTTCCAAAGGCGGGAATTGCCAGCAATCTACAGCAGAGAGCTGAGAATCCTAAGTAAGTCAGAATAGCAGCTGGAAATAGGCTCCCAACAGAATCCAGATCAGGCACAGACTCTCTCGACCAATACAGAATCAGCAACCAAGCAAAGACAGACACACCAAAACAAAATTGAAGAGCAGTCTCCTGAACCCCCATGCGAAAATCACAGAGAAAAATCACAAGGTTTACCACTACCCAGGACAGCAAGCTCACCTCAAAAGCCAGCAGCCATGCAGGGGAGAGCCCCAGTGGGAGCAAAGCAGGAATGGAAGACAAAAGCTACATCCAAGGGTTGCTGGAGGCAATGACTCAAGAAATAAAGCGAGAAATGGATCAGAAATTGAAAGAGCACAAGGATGAACTATCAAAAGATATACAGGATATCAAACAAAAGTTGGACGCAAAAATAGAAGCTGCACAAACCTCAGTAAGAAGTGAGATAAACGCCAAATTAGAGGTAATGCATACTGATCTCACCTCATTGAGAGGTGAGATCTGTACTCTGAGAACCAACATTGAATCCATAAAGGGATCCATTTCCTCCATGCAAACCACAATAGAAGCCACGGTCAACAGAGTGAATGAAATGGAAGGTAGAGTGTCAGATACAGAAGACAGAATACACCAACTGGACCAAAAAGTGACAGATATGGAAAAATCACTCAAATTAAACCAAAGGGAAATTCAAGAGCAAGCAGATAATGCTAAAAAATTTAACCTTCGCATAATCGGAGTGGACGAAGGTGAGGAATTCCAGAGCAAGGGAATGCAACACCTATTTAACAAGATAGTCAATGAAAATTTTCCCCACCTCAAAAACGACCATCTTAACTACATCACAAAAGCTTATCGAACACCCAACAAGCAAGATCCCAGGAGAAACACTTCTAGACACATTATAGTAACAATGATGGATCTGAATAATAAGGAAACAATCCTGCATGCAGCAAAAATGAAGAAGGAGCTATACTACAACGGGAAAAAAATTAGAATCACTGCAGATCTCTCCACACAAACAATGAATGCAAGAAAAGCCTGGGAAAGCACCATACGAGCCCTGAGAGCCAATAACTGCCAACCCAGACTGATATACCCGGCAAAGCTAGCATTCACATTCGATGGAGAACTGAAAACTTTTAATAGCAAAGAAAAACTAAATGAATACATAAACATTAAGCCAGCATTACAAAGAATTCTAAGAGGGGGGACACAACCTGAAGAAAGCAACCAGGAACTGGGACCTGCCCCAAACAGGCATTACTCAAAGTCTAACTGAGCAAGCACAGGAGGAAAGGAAAGAAGAAAAACTTAGGAAAACGGAATGGCAGGGACAACAATGCATCTCTCTATACTTTCTCTTAATATAAATGGGCTGAATTCGCCAATTAAAAGAAAACGAACTGAGGACTGGATCAGAAAACAAGACCCATCCATCTGTTGCCTTCAGGAGACCCACCTCTCAGCCAAACATACAAACAAACTCAGAGTGAAGGGGTGGAAAAGGATCTACCAATCAAATGCCCCCAGTAAGAAAGCAGGTGTAGCTATCCTGATATCTGACAAAATAAACTTTTCATTAAAATCAGTACAGAAAGACAAGGACGGACACTACATATTAATAAAGGGAACAATCCAAGAGGAGGATATAACCATCATCAACTTATATGCCCCAAATATCGGTGCACCCAGATTTGTCAAACAAATGCTCTCAAACTTACAGAATAAAATAGATCCCAATACGATAATACTAGGAGACTTTAACACGTCACTCTC